GTCCCTCGCGCGCTTGGGAAAAGTTGTGTAACATGTACAAGTCGCACCTCCATGACCTTTCTGGTCTTTTCCAATATTTCCGTAACAAAAATATCAGTCACGTTTTACGCTTATTTCCGCGGTCATGATCATTTCATGGGTCGGACTGGCGGAATTCCAGAACAATGCCTTTAAAGAAATGAGCTCTTTTTAGAATACACTATCATAGTTATAATTTTATTTGCCTGCTGTACAATTTGTCGTAACGAACGATTTCTCATTTAATATTTATACAATTATGCTCATTTACATATATTATTCATAAATATTTTCAAAGGGCTTGCTCGACAACAAAAGCGACGAAAACAATAAGATGTGCCCAAACAAAACCGCAGTGATCGCTATTCTTAGACCACTTGAGAAATTCTTTAAAAATGTCGCTCTATCGTTGGCACAAGATACAATGTACTGTTTCAGAAAAAAAAAAGATTCAGTTTACTACACAACACCCACGTACTGAAGAACAGTTGTAGCCCCTCTCTGTCCATTTATTCGGGCAAACGTTTCAAAATAATGTCTCTCGACAACACCGGGGTTATATTGTTTTCGTCCATGGCTGTTTTGACACCCATTTGGTTGGCACGAGCAAGGAAATCGTCCATAATCGACTTGACAGCCGATTCCACTCAAAATACACTCGCATGTCTGAGGATAACAAACATCCCCACAGCTACAGCCGCATATTACTCGAGAGAGTCTCAGCTGAGCGCAATCTTGTTCCTCTTTCTTAAGAATTCTTCGAACGCCAGCCGTTTTAAGAATAGTTTTCCTGGCTTTCTGTGCCACCGGCGCAAAAGGCTTTCGCTCTGTTCTGGTCGCCGCCGCGTCCAGTTCAAAATCGACGCATATTTTCTCGATCCAGACATGTTTTCTGGCCATTCCTAGCGTGGAACCTCCAGACGAGGGCACGGAAACAAATCCCTGCTTTCTCGGAAAATGATAGATCGTGACTTCGCCAAATCGAACAGCCTTCTTTAATCGCTTACAAGAATCGTCGCTTTCATCCTCGCTGTCAGTGCTGTGTTTCCGCTTCCCCATGTTCGAGTCCAC